CGCACACGCCGCCTCGCGCGGCCAGGGCACGCGCGCACCCTGCACGCGGACGCGCCGGCCGGGCCGCCTCTGGACACACATTCGGGAGGAGCCACTCGCCCCGCCGGCGTCGCGGCGCCCAACCCCACCCCTGCAGCACAGCTCCCGCGCAACTGACCGCCGGGGCAGCAGCTAAACCCTCCCGGGCAGGACCCTCGCCTTCCCCCGTAGCCTGTCCCGGACCTGTTGACAAGTTGCCTCCTCGAGGAAGCCTTCCCTGACCACCTCACTGCCTGACGCCCCCAGGTTGTCACCCCATGCTCCCTGCGGTGCACAAGAGCTCCCTGAGTGCCAGCCTGTGACAGAAACACATCCTATCCCCAGCAACAGCCCACAGTGGGCAAGGAAAAGCCCACTGCAGCTTTCCCAGATCAGACCAAGACTAACTTCTCACTAGGCTGGAGGCTCCTGACCACTTCTGCTATGAGGACGGCAGAACCCCAATGGGCAGGGCTACAGCTAGGACGCTGGAGGGGGCCTGCTCCCGGAGAAGGTGAGCAAACCCCTCCAACAATGGAGCTAATGGAGGCCAGGAGGATGCGTGGCCATGGCAATGCCGGCCAGGTCATTCAAAACTGCACTGCCACAGCAGAAGCAACAGAGCTGCCACCCCTATAACTGGCCCTCAGGTGACACAGCAGGCTGGAAATAGCATCCCGCTGCCCAAAGCAGGCCCAGAGCTGCCCCCACCAGCCACAGGCCACAAATCAGGGCAGCTGGCCGCAATCAGGCCGCAATTAGGGCCGGGCTTTGGGCCGACCAGAACCTGTCAGGATCCCTGGGGAGCAGGCAGAACCCCAGGACTCGGGGAGGGGTACCTGGAGAGGTAGCTCTAGTCTGTGGAGACTTGGGTGGGTGGCCCCAGGAAGCACGCATCTGGGCCCAGACCAAAGCTGGTCCCTCCTTCCAGCATGGGAGAACGGCCCACAGGCCAGGGCTGTGCTGCCACCCTGCTCCATGGCAGGTCTTTACAACCACTGGGTCACATTCAGAAGCCTAGTTTAGCCAGGATGCCTGCACACTGCAGGGGGTGGGCAGTGCTGGGCAGCACACCGGGCTCTGGGGAGGGGGCAGTCCTCAGGGACCTCAGGCAGCAAGGCCCAGACACATCCCCTAAAAGGCCCCATCTGTCTGAGCGGGCCTCCTACCCTAGAACACAAAGCCTCAACGGAAGCCCAATTGCTGGATCACAGCAGCTAGAACTGGACCTTCTAGAGCCCACTCCCCACAGTGGCCCGAGTGAAACCTCAGGAGGCGACCAGGAAAGAAGGGAGGTGTGATATCTGCAGCCCACCCAAGTTACAGGTTATTCAAGAAAAGCTGTTTTCAGAGACTGGGATCCGAAAGTGGAAAGAACACAAGTGAGTTTAATCAGGAAACCCAATCTCATGTCTTGCAACAGTGGAAAAGGGCCCACGTTGAATGGAAGGGTGGGGGGGCCCTGACCCAACCCCCACCTTTGGCTGAAGCTCTGCCTTCCAGCCCCCTTGGTACCCACTGGCCACCCAAGACCAGGAAGAGGGCTGGAGCCCTGAGGATTCTGGGTCTGTTGCTGGCTTCCTCACCTGGGCCCCAGCCCAACAAACACAGAGGTGAGGCAATGCCTGGCACCAGAGCTGCCGCCCAGCCCACCCACTGCTGCCCACCCCAGGCTTGGACAGGAGTCGGGGCAGTGGCATGGCAGAACAGAGGGCTCTGTGGGGCAGCCTGTCTTCAAAAGCAAAGGTCTAGACAAAAGTGGTGACCCCAACACACCAGGGCTTGGGCCAAGGGCGACTGCCAGGTTGGGAGTCCACACGCGTGGCTGTGCTGCCCCTGCAGGGCCCAACCAGGCCCGGGTCAGGTGAGGGGCTCCTTGTGGGGGCCTCATCGGTTCTTCACCAGGACCCGGTAGAGGGAGAAGCTCAGGACTGCGGCCACGGCGGCCCCGAGGACCCCCAGCACGCCCCGGATCCAGAAGGAGGTCGGGTGAAGTTCTGCATGGGCCAGGTGCCTGCGAGAGAGAGGGGCCGTCTGCAGAGGCCCTCGGGCACAGGCCCGAGCACCTGCTGCTGGACACCCCTACCACGTTCCGCCCGGCCTCGGAGCCCCAGGGACAGCCGGCAGGGATCAGGCCCTGGAAGACACCGCACACAGGCTCCCGCACCACATGGAGGCCGGCACCAGTGTTCACACCAGCGGTCTTGCTGCCCAGTGATGGACACCAGTGGTGCCCTGGGTGGGGACAGGAAACCCTCCTGAGGCTGCAATGTGGGATACCCACGGAAAGGCTGCCATGGTAGCAAGCCGGGTGAAGATGACGGTGCTGGGTACGGCAGGGCCGGCACAGGAGAACACGGCTGGGGCAGGCAGCCGGTGCCTGCGGCAGAATTCAGCAGGGGCCAGGCCGGTTGGGGCAACGCCTTCGAGCAGGTCAGCCTTCGAGGAGATGAAGAGGCAGGGGGTCTGCCCGTCCATGTAATGGCGCTGGGGGAGAGCGTGGCATGAGGGCAGGGCCCAGGCGGCCGAGCACAGCCATAGTCGCACTGCCCAGCAAGAGCCCAGGCCTCACCTTGTAGATGCTGGCACAGTGTGCAAAGGTGTCTGCGTCGCCGCCGTCGAACATCAAGCAGGCGACATCACAGGCAGCATCCACCGAGGCGTCCAGCAGGCTGTCTGCGCTCACCTCACACAGCTGTGGCAGACAGGGGCCTCGAGGAGTGTCCCTGGGGTTGGGTCCCCAAGGGCCACAATGGGACTGCTTCCCCAGGTGAGGGTGTGCACGCGGGGCCTCCCCCAGCACTCACAATCAAGTATTTCTCCTGCCCGTTGACCTGCACCGTGTCAATGACATAGGCGGGTGGCTCCTCAGGAGACTCCCTGGTGTCCTGGAGCAAAGGGGAGGGAGACACCCTGAGGCTTGCTGTGCCCATGTTCCCACCCCAGGGCCCTGGGTGGGGCAGGGCCTCAGTGGACGCTCACCCCCAGGCTACAGCCAAGGAACGCCTGCAGGAAGGCGGACTTGCCCACTCCTCGTGCCCCCACCACCTTGCACAGGAGGACACTGCGCTGCGTCTGCCCCTTCTCCTGGTCCAGCCTCTTCTCGCGGGTGACTGTGAGGACAAACACGATCAGGGCGGCTGTCGGGCACAGGACCCAGGACTGGCGAGGTTGGGCACCCACCTGTGATGGCCTGGGACTGGGAGTCCTGCTCGCAAAGGGTGGGGTAGCCCAGGTAGCCAAGGTGCTCGAGGCAGCGCTGGACGTCCAGATAGGTCACCAGGCTGGAGATGGGCAGGAGGCACAGCATTAGGCAGAAGAGCAGCTGGGCGTAGTGGGCGGGCGTGGGGAAGGCCATGCTTACGTCCACTGGCAGAGGAAGCCGTGCAGGGACAGCTGGCCGGCCTCGGTGCGCACTGTGTGCGGGAGCTCCGGACCCCAGGGGGCTTCTGGGAACACGCTGAAGAGGCTCCGCAGCTCCACAGGCGACAGGGCGCCATCACAGTCCTGTAGGCAGAGGGTGTGGCAGTGTGCTGGGCATGTGTGCAGAGACATGCCGGCGGGGATGTGAGAGTGGCCATGCTCTCACCTGGTCATGCTTCTCAAATACCCTCTGTAGGAACTGGTATCCCAGGTGGTTGAGCTCGGTGCTGCAGCCGGGGGGTACATGGAGCCTAGGGGTACACCACCACACTCATCTGGTTCCCAGGGACCCTGCACTGCTGTGCTGGGCACGTCTGGCTGCCGCCCTGACAGCTCCTTATGTGCCATCAGACTCTCCCTAGGGTACCCAGACTCCTGTACCTCCCAGCCCCGAAGCTGGGGCTGGGAGGAGGGCAGCCACTGTTCCTGCACATGGAGGTCCCCAGTCACAGGGACAGCTCATCCCACCTGGCAGTCCATAGCAAGGCCCTGCCTAATCCCGCACTGTGTGGACATGTGAGGGCCCGGGGCAGAGCAGGCCCAGGCAGCCCGGTGGGTGGCACCCCCACCCGCAGGAGGGGGAGCCCTGAGCTCCGCCACACTCACGGCGGGAAGAGGTAGTCAGCTGCGAGCTCGAGAGTGTCGCTGTAGCCGAAGCGCCGCAAGATGGTCCACGTGGTCTCGTGCCGGCCACGCTGGATGAACAGCGTGTTCAGAAAGAGGAAGCCTGCATGAGACAGAGAAGGGCAGCACCAGCCCAGGCTCACCCCCACCCGAATATGGCAGGCACCTGGCCTCACCATCCAGAGTCAGCCGGTCATCCCGCACGCCGCCTGCCACATTCTTGCACACCACAGTCTTCACATCCTCCAGGGCCTGGGGGGCCAGGGGGTGCCCAAAGCAGGACTTCTGCCTCCAAGAGAAAGCTGCCATGAGCGACCCACCACCCTGGAGCTGCTAGGCTAGCTGGGCTCAGCCTCCCATGGAGCGGAGGGCACCTGGAAGGCGTTGAGCTCCTCGTCACTGAGCGCCTGGTCCAGGTCCTGATCTGAGAGCTGGAAGATGCGCGTGAGGGCCTGGGCACACGCGGGTCTCAGCTGCGGAGACAGCAGCAGCTCAGCACCCTGGCAGCCGCCCCCACAGCAGCCCCGCAGGCTCGGGGGTGGGGGGTGGTTACCTGCTTGGCTTCAGGATCGTAGAGGGGCGCTGTGGGATGCAGGACAGCCTTCTGGGCATAGTAGAACAGCTCCGAGATGTTCCGCAGGTTCTTGGCTGAGCACTGGGGGAGCGGGAACAGGCTGGGAGTCCTGGGGAGTCCCACCTGCCCTTCATCGGGTGATTCCTGAGCCAAGGTCTCAGGCCCACAAAGAGCCACAGCCTCTGAGTCCCAGCCTCACCAATCCTCCATCCCCGCCAGCTCACCGCCAGCCTCCGAGCTCCAGTCTCACCAGGCCCCCCATCCCCATCCACTCACCACCAGTCTCTGAGCTCAGGCCTCCCCACAGATCCCCCCATCCCCACCTGTCACCACCAGCCTCCAAGCTCAGGCCTCCCCACAGCCCCCCTCCCCGCCAGCTCATCTCCAGCCTCCCAAGCCCTGGCCTCCGCAGAGCCCACCCCCACCCCCACCTGCTCACCTCCACACAGGTCTCAATCTCTGGGAACTGGCTCATGATAGGCAGCACAGCTTCCATGGAGCTCCCGGGCCGCAGGTCTGACTTGTTGCCCACCAGGATGATGGGCACCCTGTGGGAGGCCTGTGGTCACCAGAGATGGGGCAGCCGGCATGCCCAGCCCTCCCAGCTGCACAGGTTACCTGGGCCCCCTTGTGGTCCTCCCGTTCACCAGGGGGATCCACTTGGTCCGGATCTGAAAGGCAAAGCTGGGCAATGAGGCATGGCGGCCTACCCACTCCACAGCTCCCAGCAGGGCCTCCTGCCTGACTTGGGAAAAGCAAAGGTGGGTTAAGGCCCAACGAGACCCGAAGGTGTGGTCGCTGGCAGCACAGTAGTGGGAGAAAGCAGCTGGCAGGCAGTCACCTCTGCCAGACCAAGCCTGGGGTCACAGGCCCAGGGCAGCTGCAGCACAGGCCCCAGCTACCCCTGCTGGGGTTCTGACACTGGGGAGGGGAGAGAGGCTGCTGGCCAGCGTGGTCCAGGCCAGCAGCCACCCTGGGCTCTCTGCAGCACATGGGGCACAGGAGACCCAGCCCCAACTCAGATTCGGGCTCCCTGGAGAGCAGCCCTATGGCTCAGGTTGAGGATCCCAGAAACGCTCTCTTGATTCAGGCTGGGGAAGGGAGTGGGAGAGGAGGGTGAGGACAGGCTGCTGAATGAACAGGGTGCCACCTCACCTTTTCGATGGTGGCCTCTTCAGAGACATCGTACACCACACACACCACATGGGCCTGCAGGGAGGGCGGTGAGGCATGGTGACAGGTGGCTGCCCTGGCTGCCATGGCCCAGGTACTCAGGGGAAGCATGGCGTGAGGAGGCCAGGAAGCATGCCCCTCCCTAGAACCTGCCTCAGCCCAGTGTTCAGGCAAGCGCTTCCTGCCATGCCACATGAGGCACTGGCGGCCACTGCTCCAACCTCAGGCCAACCACCCCCACCCACTCACACGGCAGAGAAACCAGCCTTAGCACCACAACTCCGGTCAGCAAGTCCCCTGGAGAGTGCTGGACAAACAGCCACGCTCAGATCCTGGCACTCAGGACAAAGGGAACAGCAGGACCTCACTTCTCACTGGCATCTCACCATGAGCAGTCAGGGTGACAAGGTCAGGGTGTCGGGGCAAGGGGGTGCTCCTGGGTAACAGCGGCCTGCACCCTTGCCCAGCAATGCCCCCAGGACACAGTAGACACTATGGAACCAGCACATGTGCTATGTTAACAGGCAAGGCCTCGGCTAGGGTTGGGGGCTGAGTACACAGTGAGGAGTAGGTGGCTGCTGCCCTGAGTCCACAGGAAGAGCAAATGCTGCCAGCCACAGGGCAGGATGGAGACAGTGGTCCCTTCCCTTCTTTGAGTGCTGAGATCACAGCAGAATCACCAGGGCCGAGGACACACTGAGCACCTTAATCCACCTCCCCCAGGAGAAAGCCGATTAGGTGGAGGCTGCAGCAGCCCTGGAGTGGAAACCGGAGCCCACCGGCCCCCTAGAGTCCCCCAGCACACCCTACCTTGTGAATCTCCTCCTGGAGCTCCTCGGCTGTCTGCTCAGCTTCTGGACGGAGGAAGAGACCCCACTGCAGGCAGCTGAAAAGCCTGCGGACAGGCCGGCCACGAGGAGGGCTGGGGAGTTACCTGAGTAGTCCACGATGTGGGTGGGCACTTTCTCCGGGGTGACGTCTGCAGGGATAGTGATCTCTTCTGCCCGGGGAGGGACCTGCAGCCGATCACGCAGGGCTGAGCAGGGAGCCCCGCACCTGGGCCTCGGCTCCCCAACCCTGCGTGGGTGCCTGCCCTTGCAGCCACTGACCTCCTCGGGGAACTCCTCGCCCACCAGGGACAGGATCAGCGACGTCTTCCCCACCTGGGCTGCGCAGGGCGGGGAAGTCAGCGCGGGTCCGCCAAGGTCACGGCGCTCAACGGCTCGGCCCCGACGGCTCCGAGACCGCAGCCCCGCGGCCCCGGCAGCTCCGAGACCCCCGGCCCGGACGCCTACCTTCGCCGAGCAGCAGGATGCGCACGTCCCGCCTCATAGCTGCCGC